TGATCCCATGTCAGTCAAGAGAATTGGGCTGTGAGGACCCACACATGTAAACACACACATGTGTGCATGCACGTGGACACACACACACCATTGGGCAACAGCTCAGGGCTCTGCTCAGGCATATTTGTGCATGAAGTAAAGTCAATGTCTATGAACCTCAAAATCATCTATTGGGAACCTTTGGCAAGGTAGATGAGGGCGACAAAGGTGAGGACTTGGGAAAAAAGTCCAAAGAGGCTCTTTCAATGACTAAATTATTTGACATTGATGTAGCCAACTGTGAGGCACGGAGGTAAGTCCACAAGCTCTGCCTGAAGTATCCTACAGACAACGTGGGGTGGATAAGGTTGAAAACAAGCCTCTGGCATCTCCAAGTGTCCCTAGGCCTTTGTCCCCTTTGTTTCTACCATTCTTGGCAACCCCTCTTCTCCTCTGTGGTTCTCCCTCACCCCATTTCCTGCTATTTTCCTTCTTCTTCAGCCACCACCCAGCTCCCTGTGGGCTGAATAATAGTTTAGCTCAATTTTTTTAAAAAAATGTTTTGCAATACGATCTTATTGCTTTTGTTCTCTGCAGCTAGAGGGGTGGTGGCCTGTCCCAATTTTAAAGAGGCAGGAAAAATAGGGATAATGGATCAAGGGATTTTTCCAGGGATGAAACAAATAAGACCAGCATCCATTACTTTTTACCCCAGCAACTGAAATAATACAAGAGCTAGATTGTAGTAGTTATTTAGGAAAGAACTGAAAAACATCTTTTTTTTTTTTTTGATTCTCGTGTAATGAAATGTGGTAACAGACAAGATGGCTGTGCCAGTTTTTAATTCAGTGGAAGTTTTGAACATATTTCCAATTTCTTTGTCACATCCCCAGTTTTCTCATGCATAAAATGCAGTGAGTACAATAATTAGTATCTACTGTATAAGGTCACCATAAGGATTAAATCATTTAAAGCATGTCAAGCACTTAGAACCGTACATGGCATCTAATAAGCACTTGATAAATTTATTATTATGATTATGATTATTATACCAGCAACAATTTGTTTTAAGGTGAGAACCTCAATATTAAATATTTCAAAACCGTATACTCCAGAAGCCTTGATGAATAAGAATCCTACTAGTTTGTGTGAAAACCCTCTTAGAATGACAATATAAGGGGTAGGATTGAGTGAAGGAGTGATCCACTACTCTCTGTGACACTTTGGCAATTAAACACTTCATTTCTGTACTTGGTTGATACAAAGGGCTGGGTGTTTCTAGGGAAATAGGACAAAATGTTGCAGGTGCCATGCCTGCTTCTATCTACCTGTACCCAATTATAGCAGAATTCACTTCCCAGTCACTGGGAAGCCAGGCGTGTACTTTTATCAGGCTCTAATGTGACACCATATCTATCTGTGACTGCTAAGGCAGTCAATCTTACTAGTCACATCCGAGTCATCTCTCAAATATAAGCTCCCCTTACATACTCCCTGTCAAGGATTTCTTTCCTTTGCTTTTCAACTTTCTGGCTCTTCCTGACCCTCTCAATCCTTTCCATCTTGTCTCCTAGAATTCCAGGCCCGCTTCTATAGCAAGCAACCTTGTGTACTCCCACTCCTCTACCATCCATTAATAGTGTTCATTCAAATCTGGATCTTCCAAGAAGCTCTATTGCCTAAGGCAGATAGTATTTATTCTACTGGGTTTCATGGAGATTATCATCATTATCCACCTGTCCTCCCTACAAATTACTGTTCCTTCACTTGTGTATAAAAACCTCTGGGACCAGCAGGAGGTGTAGTGGTTAAAGTGCTGGACTCCCACATGGTGGACCATGGTTCAAGTCCCATCTTGAAATTCATGCCAGTCATGTGTGCTTGCCTGAAATCCTGACAGGAGAATAGAGGAGAAGGGATTGTAACAAAGCCATCTTCCCCGCAGGGGTGATTTCTTATGTTCTATCACTCTCTCCAGTGGACACATGTGCCCCTATAGCAAAAATTTCTCAAAATAATAATAATAATGCAAAAAAGAAAAACTCCAGAAAGCAAAAACTAAAAAACCTCCCAGAGAGCTTCTGCTTTCAGGAAGAAGAAGCAGGTATACTTTTCCCTATTCTTCTTGCTAAGAACAACCAAAAACCCTGGATATTATCTATAAAACAAACATGAAAAGACTCTAAAAGGAGAAAAGAAGAAAGCAGACCATATAGGGATCTCATAACATGAGGGACAATACGGTAGAAAATTCTCTGGGTTTTCTTCTTGCCTTGTGTATCTCAGATGTCAACCTGAAGAAGCCGGCAATTTGGAAACACCAACAGTATATTAAAAAAAATTTATGCAAAAGTCTGCTCTTTCTAATCAAAGTACCAGGGAAGTGCCTAACAAGACAGAATCTTTAGAACATAACCACTCTACTCCAGCAAACACCACAGAAAAAAGTGTGGTCTCACCCCAGGAATACCAGCAGAGGCTGAATGAGGAGTCTAAACTTCCACCATTATTCATTTGTTATAAGGCCCCCTTCTCACCAGGGTGGAGTCATAGCTTTCATGCCCACTGGCTGATAACAAATACACCACCCTTGTGGGAAGCCTAAATCCCTACCCTTACCTGGCAGTAATGAGATACCCTACTAGCCCCCACTCCCACGCCCCCCAACTGGTGTCAGAGGAGGCTTAATGGAGAGTCAGAACTTTAACCATCATTCAGCAGTAATAAGGCAACCACCTCAAAGTGTTAGTGGAAGCTATGTTAGAATTCCCCTCAGATGACAACAGAGACTAAGTGGGGAATCTGTACTTCCATGCTCACCTAGGGGGAACAAGGTGGCATTCTTATTTCTCTACTTCCCCTGCTAGAGCAGTGCCAGAGGAAGCCAGCTAAATTGGAAGATTTAAATAAGACCCAGAGTATCATAAGTATTCAGATTTCAATTTTAAAAATGCCTGTCATACAAAGAACCATGAAAATCTCAACTTGAATGAAAAATACAATCAATAGGTGCTGACACTAAGGTGGCTATGATGTTAGGATTATAGGATAAAGACATAAAAGCAGCCATCGTAAAAACTCTTTGATGAGCAATTACAAATGTGATTAAAACAAATGAAAAAGTAGAAATTTCAGCAAAAGAAAAAGATATAAAGAAAAACCGAATGGTGATTATATAGCTGAAACTGTAAGAACTAAAAGAATAAATTCAATGAATGGCTTCAATAGCACAATGGAGAAGACACAGTGAACTTAAAGAAAGAAAAAATAAATATCACCCAATCTGAATAATGAGAAAAAATAGACTGGAAAAAAATGAACAGAACTATAACAACATAGGTAGTATTTGGGTTATGGAAGTCCTAGAAGAAGAGGAGAAAGAGGAAGGCTTGAAAAAATACCAAAGAGGGGCCAGCAGGTGGTGGTACTGGACTCCCATATGGCCAACTGTGGTTTGAGTCCTGGACCTGTTGGCTTGTTTTCTCTCTCTCTCTCTCTCTCTCTCTCTCTGACTCTCTCTGGCCAAATTACAAAATAATAATAAAATATCATAAAATTAAATAAATAAAGTCTTTGAAATTATAATTGACAAGAGAAATAGAAAAACCAACAATTATATTTGGAAACTACAATACCCTTCTCTCAATAATTGATTGAATATTTAAATAGGAAATCAAACAAAGATATTTTAAAAAAACTTGGCACCACCAACAACCAACAGGATATAATAGCCATTTATGCAATACTCCACTCAACAACAGAGGAATACATATTTTTTAACTGCCCACAGATTATATATCAAGATAGACCATATTCTGATCACAACACAAGCTTTGACTCATTTTAAAAAGTGAAACTATACAGACTATGTTCCTCAATCTCACTGTCTTCAAATTAGAAACCAATAATTATATGATAACAGGAAAATCTCCAAACAGTCAAAGTGTAGATAACACACTTCTGAATAATCCATGTGTCAAAGAGGAAGTCACAAGGGGAAAAAAAACACTGACTTGAATAAAAATTAATATATACATATCAAAATATGTGAGGTCTGGTTATAGCTGGCAGGGGAATTTATAGCACTAAATGTTTATATTAGAAAAGAAGAAAAGTCGTGGGCAGCCAGTGGTGTGGTGGTTATGGTGGCTGAATCTCATATAGTGGACTTAGTTTGATTCAGAATACATGTTAAAGATGAAACTTACATGATTTGTTACTGTGAAATAAAAGAAGAAAAAAAAAAACTGAGATGATTACACGTTTGTCTCAGTACTTACAAAATCTGAATTGTCATGTACTAAGATGGTAAAGGCAGACTGAATGAGTTTCAGAGTTGAGATGATACAAATCAGAACTTAAGTTATGGATTAGAAATGCTTGATTTATCTCTTAGACTCCCAAGTAGAGATGCCAGAAGAGACTTGAGTAAATGAAAGCATGTAGACTTGAAGAGAGAAATATTTGATTGGAAATTTTTAAATTTGAGAACCATTGATACAGATATTAAACCTTGTATTAGAGGTAAATCATGAAATGAATATGAAGAAAAGTGAACCTAGAGATGGTCAAATATTAGGGAATTAGGGAGATCGTAAGGAGTAGCGGAGATTGAAAAAGTTCCAAAAAAATAAGGCTGAACCAATTTCAAGTGATATAGTGGAAATAGTTATGAAGGTGTCAACATATAGCTAACAGAAGGAAAAAGAGATAAATAATATATTGGGGAACATGAAGCAATCTGGTTGCTGTTTTGGTGGGTTACTGTGATGCTCATTCATTATGTATGTTTCAAACAGACAAAAACACAGGGAATAAACACAGAGATGTGGACAATTCATTTGAAAGATTTTTTTTTTTTTCATAAAGGGATGGAGGTGAGAGGAACTGTGGAGAGAACAGAATGAAAATCTTTGTAGACATGTATGTGTATTGTTAGTTTGTTCTAAAATGGGAAACATCCAGGGGTGTGTGGTGGTGGTAGAGGTGTCTGTTTGGTCCCTGTTGAGAGGAGGAAGAGGATGTGGTGTGTTGAGGGGAAATGTCTGCTGAAAACAAGCCTGCAGAGCATTTCCCAAAGTGTATTTTGTGAAATTAGCACTTACAGTGTTCTCTGCACCATACCTCCTATAGAAGATGGTCATGAGAATGGGAATAGTAGTAAAATATTTTCAGTGAAAAAGTTACTTGAATGTCTGCCGAAATGTTCAAGTTAACCACAAGAGAAACACTGTTAGAACACTAATGAGAGATCATGACACAGCAATCCTTTTGAATTTCTTTTTAATAATGTGTGAAACTTTTGACCAGCAAATGACATATGGTTACATTGCTGGACTCCCACATAGTCGACCGCAGTTCAAGTCCTGAACCTGCGGGGGGCTTTATCTCACGCTAGGCACATGTATGTGCATACCCAAAATTCTGAGAGGAGAATGAAGGAGAAAACATTGTGGCATAGACATTTTCCCCTGAGGGCAGATTTCTTGCTTTCTCTCCTTTCTCTTTGTCTTTCTGGCCAGTGAATGCGCCCTATAGTAAAAATATCTCTTAAAAAAATGTCTGACCCTTTACCTTTGATCTGACCTTCATTACCTTGATAACCATTTCATTTCTTAATTCAACTTAACTTTTTTAAAAAATGATGATATACAATTTATCTGTAGCATTTTACCTCTCAGGAGTATAACACACTTATTCACTCAAATAGAGGTACCCTTCTGAGTGATAAATTTACAAGTCTTCATTTTCTCTATTAAAATTCATTTCAATTAAAAAAAAAACTCCCAGAGAGCTTCTGCTTTCAGGAAGAAGAAGCAGGTATACTTTTCCCTATTCTTCTTGCTAAGAACAACCAAAAACCCTGGATATTATCTATAAAACAAACATGAAAAGACTCTAAAAGGAGAAAAGAAGAAAGCAGACCATATAGGGATCTCATAACATGAGGGACAATACGGTAGAAAATTCTCTGGGTTTTCTTCTTGCCTTGTGTATCTCAGATGTCAACCTGAAGAAGCCGGCAATTTGGAAACACCAACAGTATATTAAAAAAAATTTATGCAAAAGTCTGCTCTTTCTAATCAAAGTACCAGGGAAGTGCCTAACAAGACAGAATCTTTAGAACATAACCACTCTACTCCAGCAAACACCACAGAAAAAAGTGTGGTCTCACCCCAGGAATACCAGCAGAGGCTGAATGAGGAGTCTAAACTTCCACCATTATTCATTTGTTATAAGGCCCCCTTCTCACCAGGGTGGAGTCATAGCTTTCATGCCCACTGGCTGATAACAAATACACCACCCTTGTGGGAAGCCTAAATCCCTACCCTTACCTGGCAGTAATGAGATACCCTACTAGCCCCCACTCCCACGCCCCCCAACTGGTGTCAGAGGAGGCTTAATGGAGAGTCAGAACTTTAACCATCATTCAGCAGTAATAAGGCAACCACCTCAAAGTGTTAGTGGAAGCTATGTTAGAATTCCCCTCAGATGACAACAGAGACTAAGTGGGGAATCTGTACTTCCATGCTCACCTAGGGGGAACAAGGTGGCATTCTTATTTCTCTACTTCCCCTGCTAGAGCAGTGCCAGAGGAAGCCAGCTAAATTGGAAGATTTAAATAAGACCCAGAGTATCATAAGTATTCAGATTTCAATTTTAAAAATGCCTGTCATACAAAGAACCATGAAAATCTCAACTTGAATGAAAAATACAATCAATAGGTGCTGACACTAAGGTGGCTATGATGTTAGGATTATAGGATAAAGACATAAAAGCAGCCATCGTAAAAACTCTTTGATGAGCAATTACAAATGTGATTAAAACAAATGAAAAAGTAGAAATTTCAGCAAAAGAAAAAGATATAAAGAAAAACCGAATGGTGATTATATAGCTGAAACTGTAAGAACTAAAAGAATAAATTCAATGAATGGCTTCAATAGCACAATGGAGAAGACACAGTGAACTTAAAGAAAGAAAAAATAAATATCACCCAATCTGAATAATGAGAAAAAATAGACTGGAAAAAAATGAACAGAACTATAACAACATAGGTAGTATTTGGGTTATGGAAGTCCTAGAAGAAGAGGAGAAAGAGGAAGGCTTGAAAAAATACCAAAGAGGGGCCAGCAGGTGGTGGTACTGGACTCCCATATGGCCAACTGTGGTTTGAGTCCTGGACCTGTTGGCTTGTTCTCTCTCTCTCTCTCTCTCTCTCTCTCTCTGACTCTCTCTGGCCAAATTACAAAATAATAATAAAATATCATAAAATTAAATAAATAAAGTCTTTGAAATTATAATTGACAAGAGAAATAGAAAAACCAACAATTATATTTGGAAACTACAATACCCTTCTCTCAATAATTGATTGAATATTTAAATAGGAAATCAAACAAAGATATTTTAAAAAAACTTGGCACCACCAACAACCAACAGGATATAATAGCCATTTATGCAATACTCCACTCAACAACAGAGGAATACATATTTTTTAACTGCCCACAGATTATATATCAAGATAGACCATATTCTGATCACAACACAAGCTTTGACTCATTTTAAAAAGTGAAACTATACAGACTATGTTCCTCAATCTCACTGTCTTCAAATTAGAAACCAATAATTATATGATAACAGGAAAATCTCCAAACAGTCAAAGTGTAGATAACACACTTCTGAATAATCCATGTGTCAAAGAGGAAGTCACAAGGGGAAAAAAAACACTGACTTGAATAAAAATTAATATATACATATCAAAATATGTGAGGTCTGGTTATAGCTGGCAGGGGAATTTATAGCACTAAATGTTTATATTAGAAAAGAAGAAAAGTCGTGGGCAGCCAGTGGTGTGGTGGTTATGGTGGCTGAATCTCATATAGTGGACTGTGTAGTTCAAGTCCTGGACCTGGCAACTTGAAAAACACTCTGGGCAAGTTTTGAGTGTCCAAAATCCCTAGAAGAGAATGGAGGAGAAGGGATTGTAGTGTGACCACCCCCCCAGGGGGATGCTTTCTCTCTTCCTTTCTCTCTCTCTCTCTCTCTCTCTCTCTCTCTTTCTCTCTGGTGAGCATACGTGCCCTATAATAAACTAAAATAAATAAGTACAATTTACAAGAAGAGAAGAAAAGTCTCAGAAAAATCAATAATGTAAGCACCCACTTCAAGAACCCAGAAAAAAGCGAAATAAACCAAAACCAAGAAGAAAGAAGGAAATAATAAGAGCAAAAAAAAAAAAAAATCAATGGAATTGACAACAGAAAAACAATAGAGAAAATCAATGAAACAAAAACGCTGTTTTCTTTTTAATCAATAAAATTGACACAGCTCTAGTGATACTGACAGATAAAAAAGTGTGAGCACACAAATTACGAATATTGGGAATGAAGTAGGAATTATCACAACAGACCTTCAGCCATTAAAAGGGTAATAAGGAAATACTGTGAAAAGAACACACATACTTTTTGACAGTTAGATGAAATGGACCAAATCCTCAAAAAGCAAGAACCATTACAACTCCACCAGTAAGAAGAAAATAATTTGAATACCTCTACAACTATTCAAGAAATGAAGTTTGTAATTTTAAAATTCCACCAAAAGAAATCTCCAGGCATAGATGATTTCTTGGATAATTATCCAAATGATTAAAGAATTAACATAAATTCCATATAATCTCTTACAGAAAAGAGAACACTTTTCATTTCATTTTGATAAACTAGCATACCCTGAACCAAGCCAAAGCAGTACCAAAACAGAAACTATATTTCTAATAAATAGAGATATAAAAACACTTATTAATATTTTAGCAAATAAATTTGCCACTATATATAAAGACTTATACTCCATGACCTAGTGAAGCTTACTCCAAGGATGCAAAGCTGATTCAAATTCAAAAATCACTTAATGTGATAAATACCATAATAACAGGATAAAGAATAAAAACCATGTCATCATCTCAATAGATGCAGAAATGGCATTTGACCATTCAACACCCATTCATGATAAAAATTAAAATCTTAGAACTAGGAATGGAGGGAGAACTTTAAAGAACATCTATCAAAAGACTATAGCTAATATTATAGTTAATGATGAAAAATTTCTAGGATCAGGAAGATGAGGAAGAAGACAAGGTTGCTATCACAATTCTCATTCAACATATTAGTGAAAGTTCTAGCCCATGTAATAAGAAAAGAAAAATAAATATAAGGCATAGACACTGGAAAGAAAGAAGTAAAACTGTTCCTATTTAGAGATTACATGATTGTCCATGCAGAAAATCCAAAGAAGTCTACAAAATACTGCTAGAATGAACAAGCAAGTTCAGCAAACTAACAGAATGCAAGACAATGCATACAAAAGGTAGTTACAGCTCTATATACCAGTAATAAACATGTGAACATTGAAATAAAAATAACCACTATTTACAATCACTACAAAAGTTAAATACTTCTGTATAAACCTAAAAAGTATGTATGAGACTTGCTTGCTCAAGATTACAAAACACTGATGAAAGAAATCATACATGATATACATAAATGGAGAGACATAGAATGCCTATGGATTGAAAAACTCAGCATAGAAAAGATGTCAATTCTCACCAAATCAATATACAGGTTTAATGCAATTCTTATAGCTACTCAGCAAGACTTTTTTTTTGTAGCTATGGACAAGATTATCCTACAATTTGTATGGAAAAGCAAAGGAACTAGATCAGCTAAAATAACTTGTGGATCCCAGCAGATGGCATAGTGGTTGTGTCACTGGACTTCCATATGGTCAACTGCGGTTCGAGTCCTGTACCCGGCGGCTTCAAAATGCCAGATGCGTGTGCATGCATGCCCAAAACCCCAAAACGAGTATGGAGGAGAAGAGATTGCAGCATGATCATCACCCCACGTGATTTCTCACTTTCTGTGTCTCTGTCTCTCTCTGTCTCTCCAACGAGTGCATGTGCCCTATAGCAACAAATCTTTCAATAAATAAATAAATAAATAAAAATTTGGGAAAAAAGAATAAAGTGGGAGGGATTACTTTACCTAATATTAATGCTTACTAAATAGCTACTGTAATCAGAATAGTCTGGATTGGTGGAGCAATATCTCTCTCATATATCGATGGAGCATAATAGAGAACCTGGCAATAGACTCACATAAATATGCCCAACTGATTTTTCAACAGAAAAGCAATTCATAAGAGGAAGGATAGTCTTTTAAACAAA